CACCATGCTGACAACAGATGCCAAATGTGTACAGATTTAATATCCAAGATGCTGACAGAGGTGGAAGTACACCTCCGGCAGTAAAGGGCTTTAACTTTTCAGTGAGAAACTCTGCACATACAGACTAACACTTTAAAGCCATGACTAAAATGCAAGGTAAATATGAATATTTTTAATATTGACACATGGTAACGGAAGCCATGCACACACGGTTTCCTTTTGTGTGCTTTATAAATGGGACAAATTTTCACCAGGTCAGTCATGCACTACACGGTCTTACACTGATTGCTACACAACAGACCTGTTCACAATTGGCTTAATTTATCAAAATTACAAATGCAGTTATTTTTAACAAGGAATGGGTTTTAACCCCTTCAGCCCATCGGTAGGAGGGCCCCGAGGGAGGGGACCTAATAACCCTGTAGTGCCAGGAAAACAAATTTGTTTTCCTGGCACTATAGTGCTCCTGGAAGTTAGATCCATTTTCTGTATCAAAAAAAGTACTTGCTCTTCTTCTTGACACAGGACATGGGGCTGACTTAAGCTCCTCCTTTGGATAAAGAAAGTCAAATGTAGGAAACATACATAAGACAAAGTAGTCCTGACTTTGTCTTATGTTTTAAAGAAAACTAGGTCAGAAATAAAGAAAAGAAGAACAGATTCTGAGAGAGGAAGAGAAAACAATAGGAGAAAGATCTGTTTGGTATGACAGTGCCACTTAAAGCCGTTGTGGTTCTGGTGACTATAGTGTTCCTTTAAGAATTGTATTTTTGTTGTTTAAAATAAAGGTTTTTTTTTTTTTTAAATGGCTAACTTTTTTTTGTTTGTTTTTAAAAGCTTGCTCCTAGATTCAAAGCAAATTTGTCAAGCCGTGCCTCATCTCAAACTCCAATGTTAATTACACACAGCATGTAAAAGTATCTAGAGTGGCATTTCTTTAAAAGCATTGACCTACTAAATAAGTGGCGGACTGAAATGTGTGGATAGTTCAAACACACCAGGCGTATGCAAATGAGCTCAACAAAGAACCACATTTTTGCCTCAATTCCACTTTATACATGGATTCCTTAGAGTATGTGTCTGTTGCATGCAACAGCTTTGAAACAACTCAGAAAGAGGTGCAATGCCAGTAAACCACTCATGGACAGTGGTTTTGTTATTTCAACTCATCAGCATGAGATAGGTACCGCCAAGCCTCCATAGCAAGCCAATAACCTCTCTTATGCTGATGAGTTGAAATAACAACGAACCAGCTGTCCATGAGTGGTTCACTGGCACTGCACTTCTTTCTGAGTTGTGTTTTAAAGCTGTTGCATGCAACAGACACATACTCAAAGGAATTCATGTATAAAGTGGAATTACGAGGCAAAAATGGAGAAAAAAAAAAAAATTTGTTGAGCTCACTTGCATATGCCTACACAGAATCCTTTGCAGTAGTGAGAGCACTGGTAAAGGGGGATTACTATGGTAAAAGCAAGTCTTATCGCTTGCCTGGTGTGTGTATTTGTGTTTAACATTGATATATATATATATATATATATATATAATATGCACTTAAACTGCCTTATTTTAATAAACTGAAGTCAGAGTTTTCCATCCCAAACACAGGTTATTAAAAAAAAGGTCAGATTTGGCTTTTATGTGTTAAAAAAAATCATCAAAATCTCTATACATGCTTGCGAATTCTACTTTTTACAAATAAAAAAATAAAAAAAAAAATACAACCACAACCAAATCTGCATAATTTGATTTATCCAAATCCCCCAACATTGACCAGAGTAACTGCACTAGTGACCCTTAGTTTAACCCCTTAAGGACACATGACATGTGATGATTCCCTTTTATTCCAGAAGTATGGTCCTTAAGGGGTTAAATCACTATAGTGCTACTCTATGACCCAACAATTAGGTTGCTATGCGAATTCAACTAATCTAATTTGAAAATAGCAGGGACCTATTCTGTTTACAGTGGTTAAGATTCGTACAATATAAAATACGTCAAAATAAGTATCACTTCAACTGAAATAAATTAAACCAAATACAACTAACTAAATTTAATACCTGATGAATTGATGCCAATTTTCAGAACATTTTAGGGAACTTTCCTTGCGTGTACGTGTTCTGAAACAGCACCTGTGTAATTAACTCATGAACTATGTACACACACACACTATAGAAGGTTTGATCAGACGACACAAGCCACAGGCAGGTGTATGCAAGACTAAAGTTACTTAAGAAAAAACTAATAAAAAAAAACAAAAAAAAACACTCAAAGACCAACTATGTTGCATATTGATATTTTCTGCAGATATAAAGATTTATACATTATCCCCATAAATACGGTAGAGAAATTATTTAACCACCATAAAAGGTCCATGCGTGCACACAGCACATATGACAGCTAAACATTTTTGTTGAAAAGCATGCAAAGAAAATGCACTTCATGGGGAAAAAAAGCTCACTTGCAGCCCACGTACGCTGAATATATCAGTTTGCAAGCTTTTCAAAGCATGTGTCCCCATACTAGAGAGGGATTTGTGTGCACTGAATGCGTTCATTGAAAACGTATTTATCTACAAGGCACGCGAATAGGCTAGGCAAATAATACTGCTAAAAACAGCACTCTTTTTGGCAAGATGTTTTGCTTCCCTGTGTTTTAGGACCCTAAATGTAGATTCCCAGCTGTTGTAAACCTACAACAATCATGGCATTATGTCATAAGGCTGACAGAGCACCATGGGAGTTGGAGTTGTACAACACTTGGGAATTCTACCTCTTACACATCCCGCTTTAGGATGTTACACATACAATATTATTCACAAAGTGCGACCTGTTGGAAATTCATAGTGCGCTTCAAATTCAACGTTGAAATAGCCAACATGAAAACTTTTTTTTCCTTTAAAATCGACTTGCACGATTACGTACTGTAGCGTATTTAAACTTAAGGGAAAAAAAATAGCTTAACTTTTACTGGTTACTAGCCATTTTTTTTTTTTTTTTTTTATAAATTTCGCCAGAATTGAATCTACTAGAATTCTAGAGAGTTATTTTCTCACCCAATTAGGTTATTTTGGCTTAAACTTAAAAAATATTTGTGCTAATTTCCGACAATTCACGTGTCGGGGATTCACCCCCCCCCTTACATTTGTTCAAAGTGAAACCCGTCGCTTTGTCATTTCAAACGTCAGGCCAATACGGCCAAACCGAAAAACAAAACTGAATTCGAAGAATCCGGCAATTTTGGTCTAAAATGCGAAGTTCACTTTGAATACCCAACAAGTGACACTTTAATGAATAACCCCAGGGAGGGGGGGTTGTGGGGGGGTGGTATAAAGGCAAAAGTGGGATTAAACATACAGAGGATCTACCAAGGAGGCATCCTGTGTACCTGATCACCAGTGAGCCCTAAAGAGGGGTGTGCCTGCCCTGCAGCAAGCAGCACATCATGTATGAACACCAGGCATACATAGATCCTCTGCTGCTGCTGGCATTCCAGCTGCTGGGGAGGTGGCACTACAGCCCCCAGAATTCTCAGTCACAGACATGGCTGGCTGAGCATCATGGGAGTCGTAGTCCACCCATCTCTCTCAATCAATGTATTAATAAAATGGTCCCTGAGCCTCCCCCCTATTTATTTACAGTCTGGGAGGACTGGGTGAGGGTTTCCAAGGCCTGGGGGTTCAATGACGCACTGAGGAAATGGCAGGCTGTGGGGGGCCGGGTTGGGGGCCACTTACACCCCTTCCCCAGTATCCCCAATATACCCAGATGGCTCCTGGGGAGCAGCTACACAGATACCATCAGGAACACACCCACCCCGTGCCCATCTCTCTCTCTCTCACACACTGTGACATTTTATTCTCCCACTGCCCCGCCTCCCAGCCCCCCGGGGGAGAAAACTGCAGCCCACACAGGACCCCCAGCGGTGACAGCCCCCTCTCCACCCCGCACCCACAGCGACCATGGCAGGCAAGCGGGGCTGGGGAGACAGCAGACCGGCAGCGGACCCGCACTCACAGTCTCTCCTCTCCGCTCGGCGCAGCGGCCATTTTCTAACGGCTCCTCCACAGGCTGAGGAGGGAGGGAGGGAGGGAGAAAAAAAAAACTGACAAAAAAAAAAGGGCGGGATCGGGCAGCGCGAGAGCCGCGGCTCGGGTGACGTCACCGCGCCGCGAGCCTGCAACTGCCTACCTGCCTCCCGCCCTCCCCATCCACTCGAGGAGATGAACGTGAGGGATGTTTGTTGGACTGTGAAAGGGGGCGTGGCCCGAACGAAAGGGGGCGTGGCTCGCCGCGAATAGGACGCTGCTCACTCATAGGACGGATATCCTTACGGTGTGTTAGAGAAAGAAAAAAAATTAAAAAGTGGGGGGGGCGGGGTTTCGCTGCCTGGCTGCGTCAGAGGTGTTGTGACGGGTAGGATGATGCTCTGTGCTGGAAGGCGGGAGATGCGTGTGGCGCTCTTAAAGGGCCAGTAGCATATAAATAAGGCTGCCATTTTGGTGTAAAAAAAAAAAAAAAAAAAGTTTATTCATTGCTTAGTGCTGGCTAAAATTTGAATTGCTGGGAAATGGAGTTTATTTAAGGTTATAGACTGTTCTGTATGGGGGAAATATGACCGTGCGTTTCCAATATCCCAACACATGTTTGTAATACTTTATAAATATAATTATTAAAGTGTGAATTTAAAAAAAAAATATATATATATTTTATTTTACTTTCTAAATGAAAAAAAATAACCCGCAAGTGATCCATCTGTATAAACGTCAATGTTTTTATATGTATAAATGTGCTTTGCTCATTCTATTTTATTTATTTTTTCAGGAAACCTGCGCGGTACGTCCGCACTGCCATTCTGCGTGGACGCACTACTTGTCGACCTTAGTACTAATTCTGTGAATTTACCAAATATGCGTTTTCTTGGAATATATCTACACATTATATAGGCTGCCAATGGGATAGCTATTGTTGACATTGTGGAACTTTCTGTTTTTGAGAGCCGCTGCAGGGGATTCCCCCCCCCCCCGGCTTGAAGTGGACGCCTGGGCTTCTGATCCGTTGATTTCGGCGTAGTGCAAGTATGGTGCGTTTCCCGATACCTGCGCGATCGCCCGTGTTGGCTTACAGTAGCCACACCTGGGCACGTCTGCATATCTAGCGGTCGGCCCAGATCCGGTCCCAGTCGGTTTTACTTTTGCTGGACCCGTATACTTATTTGGACAAGAACCGGTGGAAAGCCGATGCTCTCTCTCCTAGTTTGAGCATGGTAAGCACTACCGAGCTGATGCCATCCTATTTGAGACTGGAGAAGCGGCAGTGGTCTGTCTTCGGATGTTGGAGCATTGCCCTGTGGGTCCAAGCTGGCTTTGGACGGGAGGACTGGAGAGAGGAGTCTGTTCTGCAGCAAGCCCAGCGGTTGATCGCGGACTAATGGTTGGGCCATTGTCTCCTGTTGCACCTGAGTGGCCGGTGATATGCTATGGAAGTTCCAGTTACCCCTTGCAAGGGCATTGACTATGCAATGGGTGGGTCTGTGATTCAGTGGCCTGGGAGTTCCACAGGGGGGATTCCCCTTGGACTATTCTGGGGTCTTCTGGGGCTGCTGTATAGTTCGCTTCAACTCGCTGTGGTTGGGATAGAGCTACGGGACATTGAGACCGTATTTCTGGATTTAGCTTGATGGGCATTGGGTACTTACCTCCTAGTACACATCATTTACTGACCTGGAGTCATGTTGCTTCCTAGGGATGCTGGTTCACCCTCTTCATTTATTTATATAATATTTTACCAGGAAGAATACATTGAGATTTCTCCCATTTTCAAGTATGTCCTGGCTGGGTCTGATTATTTTTGAAGGCATCTAATTTTAATATTTTTGTATTTTTTGTTTTCCTATGGAGCTATACTACAACATCAATATTCGCTAAGTGTTTTAGCCTTGTACTGTTTTACAAATGCAATGGACAATATGGAGATACCAGATGAATCTATTAGACTTCTGCTACTTTGAATAAACCTTGAATGACAAGAAGTATATATACATCAATGTCTCAAGAAAAACTGAAATGCAATTACCTTTTTTTAAAAGTAACAATTAAAATATTACTTAAAATGATACAAAACTTCACGTGAAAAAAAAAATCACCTAAATTATGGGTTCCGATAGAACTCACGCATACATAAAATAAGCTCCCCTGGCTAATCTGGTCAGATAGAGCAGTGGGCAAACATTTTGATAATTCGACATCCATTGACAGGACCAACATTGGACGTGTGGAATGCAATCAGACACAAGAGTCCGCTGACTCCTAACCCTTTGCTATCAATATCACACAACCCGGGACTAGCAGGTGGGGTTCGCCCATCTGAGCTTCATGGGTTTAACTTAGGTGAATGGATATATCAGGAAAACGCGGAATGGACATTTGTTTTATTTCCCTTATGTAACCCTATTTCCATTTACTATGTAACTGTTCCATATGTGATTCAATGCAGATAAAACCAAATAAAGATTGTAAAAAAAACAAAAAACACAAATACAAAAGTTGAGCCATAATATCACCCAAAAATTGTTTTTTTTTTTTAAAAATACAAGAATTGTGTCACAATATCACTTTTTTGTTCAGTGATAACCCACAGAAACAATCGATTTACATGGTTAATCCTATAATTAGTAACTAAGATGCATGCAAAACGGATGTAATTACAGGGGGCAAATAATAAATCAATATGCTTATAGAGCATAGGCCTCTTACTGCCTATGTTGTTGGCCATTAATTGATAAATGGGATAATTTCCCGATTTAACGTTGGCTTAATCTTCCAGCAACAGATTTAAAATTAATGTTTTAGCCCTAAAGCTGAACTTAATACATAGCTATTTTAATATTCAGACTTTTATGAATTTTGTCTGATTGATTTGCTAACTTTTTGTCTCGATTCAGGGCATTTCAGCAGCCCATTAATTTAAATTATTCCATGAAGGAATATATATTACTATTATTATTTATAAAGCGCCAACAAGTTCCGTAGCGCTGTACAATGGGTGGACTAACAGACACGTATTTGTAACCAGACGGGTTGGACACACAGGAACAGAGGGATTGAGGGCCCTGCTCAATTAGCTTAAATGCTTGAGGGAGTGGGGTATAGTGACACAAAAGGTAAGGGTAGGTTAGAAAAGTAGGTTGCTAGGATAGTATTCATTAGGGGCTTAGTGTTTTGATTTGATGAGTTTCAGGAGAGGAATCAGGGTGCGGGGAGGGAAAGCTGTTCAATTTAATTGATATGCTTTCCTAAAGAAGTAAGTTTTCAAAGATTTTTTGAAGGAGTGTTGATTGGGTGAAAGTCTAACAGAGAGAGAAAGGGTGTTCCATGGGAACGGTGCAGCCCTGGAGAAGTCTTTAAGGTGAGCATCAGAGGTAGGAGTACGAACAGAGGTTAGACGTAGGTCCCCTCGGCAGAGCGTAGGGGCCTAGATGGGACATATTTGTGTATTAGTGAGGATAAGCAGGTGGGAGCAGCATTGTGTATTGATTTGTAAGTAGATGTCAGGATCTTGACAAATTGAGCCCCTATATCTTACGGAAGCCAATGTAGGGACTGACAAATGGGGGAGACGCGGGAGGTGCGGGTGGACAGGAAGAAGCTGTAACTGTGACGCTGCTACTGCTCCTTTTAAAGGAGAATAAAACAATTGTTCAGTAGTATTTACCAAGTGCAGCAGTAATCTCTAATTTTACTATTGCCTGATTTTTGTTCTCTAGCAAATTAGCAATGTCACTGAGATTTGGAATTTTGATAATTTGATTTGCTTGGCCTGTGTCTAATTTTGAGACATTTTAGCAGTGCACCATCAAAACGCACTGCATTTTGCTGAGAATTTAGTCATTTCTGACATTTTACCAACTCTTTATCTGAAATTGCCATCATTCCTCTCAAAAGTTCACTATTTTCAAAAGTAATGGGTCTCATGGGTCATTTTAACATATTTTTAAGCAACAGTTTTGTTTTTTTTACCAATTTTTGCATTGTTTTGTGCTAATACTTTTTCTTACAGTGATGCTGTTGATTTGGCGAATAGTGTGTGTTCCATTAAAGTAAAATAGCTGAAAATGTGTTTATCTACATACATTACCTGCATTATTTTAGGAACATACACCACCTGCATTATTTTGAAATATACTGTCCATATTTTTGAGATGTTCTGTTAATTGAGCCTAGCCTTTGGATTTAATTAATAGCATATCACATGAAGTTACTTCCATAAAATGAAGCTATTTTTTTCAATAATCCTTCTGGATATTACATGCAGGAGATTTTAACATTTTTTTAATCTTGCAGTTTAACTGCTAGACGCAATTGGCTGTTTATTATTATAAAGGCCAAAATATCTCACTGCCTACATAGATACCTACTTTGTTATTTATCTAAACTTAAATAAATTATGAAATATGCAACCAAGCTACTTATTTCTATTACAACACCCCCTAACTAGTCTAATTTGTAGTTTTGTAATTACTGAGATATCTTTTGCCTTTAACAACATCTTGCAATATAACATCACCCACTGATACCTTCCATATTAACCTTAAGCTTAAATATAATAGTAAAAAAAAAAAAGTTACCTATAATGTAAAAATTGATCAGTGCAAATTCTGATCGTCTTGACAACTATATGTTACAGCAATAAATAATTACATGCATAAAAAAAAACTGATGTACTGCTACCTATATAACATACTGGTATGTCATACATTCTGAAAGGTTTCTATTTTATAATTTGCCTGAACTGGTTTTCATTATCCATACATTTGTGGGTGATGAGTGATTCCACTTTTTATTAGGAATACGTTTATTTAAACTAACTTAAACCCATTTCTTGTAACATAATTATTCATTTTATAACTTTTATATATTGTCAATGCTCGCTGAGTAAATTAAAGGCAAATTTAGATGTGAAATAACACGCCATCGCTCATGTAATATATAATAGTTTATATTTTATACAGCAAGAGAACATACCTGTAAATAAAATAAATTGACTTGTTCTGTATATTTGCATATACTTTGCCATGAGGTTACAATAGTTCTGGTGGTAAATAGTGATAAATACAAATTAATTTAGGTGTATCCAAGGTTAAAAAGATTAATTCAAAATGGTGAGGATCTTATATAATTTAACCCAAAAAAGCTATAAAAACAAAAATAACATTTCAAATTTGAAAAACAAATTTCAGTTGCATTTGGGTTTGTAACCATATACAAATATTCATTTTCATATACAAATATAATTTTTAACAAATGTCAATTATAATCAAATTTAAACACATCACTAATGAGACTTAAATAGTGATAAGAATAGTGAAGTTTTAAGAGAAACTGGAGAATTTAGCATATTTATGTCCAGGAATTTCAAGTGAATTTCAAATGTCCATACCTCCTAACATTTCTAATGAACGAAGAGGGACTCTTTAATTTTAGGGGTGTCAGTGGAGCTGTTCTGAGAAATTTGAGGTGACTTCTTAAAAACAAATACTGCAACTAAAATGTAATTTAGAACAAGAACAATGTATCTTATTTATACAGATTGTTTTCTAAACACATTTATTGTAGTTTATAGACACATTACTGGGAGTGTTATTGCTGTGGAGCTCTGTTACACACTCAGACACACCAACTATATGGAGCCCCAAGAAAGAGGGACAGAGGGATAGAAAATAGGGTCAGAAGGATTTGGACCCAAAATTGTGACTATCCATCCTAGGGTCTGTTGGGATGAATGCATTTAATTTGCTATGCTTTAAATATGACTACATTGGCCTAAAACTTAAAAAATATTTTGAGTTCATTTTAAATTCTTTACAATACACTTAATGAGTAATCCTGTGATACTGAAATCACATTATGTGTTTTAACGAAGATGTATACAAATAAAAGTTCATTTATAAATGAATAGGTATGTACTAATATATTTGTAATGGAAATGAGAACAGGAGACATATGAACATATTGAAGTATTAAGTGATTTACCAAGTACAGATTAAAAAAAATATAAATGTATTTTTTTAAAAACAATTAAATAGCAACATGTAAACATGGTTTATCCTCTGTACCTAGATGTCAGATTGTAGCAAATTAAAAGCTGAGTGGCTAAATTGAGGCAAAAATAGCCAAATTGTGACTTTAACCGAGTTGTAGAATTTTTCATGATCAACATTGCTGCTTCCGTTTGGATTTTTGCTTGCTACTATTTGCAATATAGTGAACAAATGCAACGTGTTAAAAAGGGTTACGGTAAAGCTACATACAAAATAAACCAAACCACAGAACCACACCGAGGCAGTGCATCTTTCAGTCAAAACTATCTTTTGGTGAATCGCAAAATTCAGTCACGAATGACTGCAGCTGAAAAAAAGACAAAAAACATTTAGGTAATAAAATCTATTTTTTTGCTTTCTCTTTAAAAGCTAACACACAGCATTCACAAAATTGAGAAAAATAAAATGAAAAATGCATTTCAAGATGCGAATCCCTTAATCCAACGCCATTGCATTATAATAAATAAAATATCAAAACATATCAAATGCATTTTGATTTGTCTAGTGACAACGCTGTAATACAATATAAATATTCATAGATGTAAATTATATTACACAATAAAATGACGTTATAACATTCTTGTAAACAGTGCAGTAAATGAAAAGCTTTATACAAAGGATATTTTAGAAAAATACTAACATAGTCTCATTAGATGTCTCACAGGTAGAATGTAATGGAATTTCAATTAAATAAGAACACTTAATTGTAGAGTCAAGGTAATGTAAAAAGCAATGATGTTGTGGCATAGTTCTATTATTTGCAATTCTTATTTAAAGGAACAGTTTAATAATAATAAAAAAAACAATTGTGTGCTGCTGCTTTCTTTATAATTTTAGATTACTAGGCCCCATAAAAAATGAAGCGCACAATCTTCTCTGTAATCCATTGACAAGGTGGACTCCTCTTCCAGTGAAGTCATCAATCCCAATGATTTTGTCCAGTCGGATGCATTGAGGATACACTGCACTTGCATGGTAAACATTTTCCAATTCAATGCTTCTCACACAGTGTCCAGCATCACCATACTTTGCATGCGAACATCAGATGTCAAATATATTTTCTGATTGAATTTGTTTGTGATGGAAGCCCCAAATCACTGTCTGACTCCAGAGATTACAAAAAGTAATCAGTGCTGTTTATCGAAAAAATGGCACTGTCATCATTTGCAAGGCTGCAGGGCAGCAATTACGTGACAAAAACCCCTACATTACAATTAAGTGATTTTGGTGTTTAGAGAGTCCCTTTAAATAGGCTAAACAAAAAACATTTAAAAAATAATAAAATTAAAATTTTTTTAAATTGTTTTTTAAATAATAGGGTTTTATTTCTATAAAAAGAAAGAAAAAAAAATCTGAAAAAAAGTGACAACCTTAAAAAACATTGTACTTAAATTGGTGGACATACACTCACAAAATATTCTTCGGTAAAGCGTAAAGCACCTTCAAGTGATTAGGTCTTTAACATTTTTCATTTGGACTCAGCAATATAGGAAAGCAGAGACCGATATAGTGCGAACGGTTTGGCTATCTCTAAATGGAGCTACCATATTGAATACCTAACTGGTAACTAGATACCCGTAGATGGACAAATGCCATTATGTAACTTGTTTTTTTAGTTTTACAATCATTCTGTTTGCTCGATAGGTTGGTTTGATATCTAATAAAAAGGAAAATGTTTCACATGTATATTTTTTTAGATTTACCTCATGTGCACTTACTTATTATTGCTTGGTAACAAGGTTATAATACTAGAACATTTTTGGCCTCAGTTATTGTTTGGTATAGCTTTGTCAAGGCACATTCATTCTGGAGACAAAAGACCAGATTTATTGCTGACATAGTAGAGGGCTCCGAAATCAAAATTATTGTGAGTTTAAAATGGTTACCCTTGACGCCGGTTATACACAACCCCGACCTGGCTGACGGGCTGCGACCGCAGGACGTGGACGGCTTCGGAGGGAGGGAGGCCCAGCGCCTCCGAGCATGGTGCACCCGGACAGAGATGAAAACCTACTCCGATCTGACAGCACAAACCAGGCCCACAGGCCTTCTCCAATTCCGTTACCAACAAGTCAAGCATTACTACGCCGCTCTCCAAGGGAAACAGTTACTGCATAGGGACCCCACGCAATTCGAGACTTTCTGCTCCAGCGAAGAACATTTGACCCATGGAATATCGACGCTCTACGCAATGCTCTTGGCCGCTGACCAGGGGGCTCCGGCGCACTTCCACGCTAAGTGGGAACAGGCAACGGGGATCGTACTGACGGACCAGCAATGGGAGAAGATCCACATTCTCACACACCAAGGGATACTAAGTACTAAAATGAGAGAACTTAACTACAAGGTCTTGACCTGCTGGTATAGGACCCCGTCCAGGCTGGGGTCCATGGGGCTGACAACAGACGACTCATGCTGGAGATGCACAGCCGCTGAAGGTACAGACCTGCATGTCTGGTGGACATGCCCTCGGATCACAGGTTACTGGCAACAGATCCATGACAAACTCATGGAAATCTTAGAAGAAGATATCCCCATGGAACCTATGCCCATGTTACTCAACCACACGCAAATGCCAATACCACGCTACAAAAAATCTCTAATTCGGCACTTCCTCAATGCCGCCAAGAGCCTAATCCCCGCCAGATGGAAGTCGACAGATGTTCCCACGATCTCCCAATGGCTGGATAAGGTAGATGAAATATACACGATGGAGACCCTCACGGCTGAACTACGAGGAACACAGGAACGCTGCACCCGACTCTGGACCCCCTGGATCACCTATATGGCTGGCCGGGGGCGGGGGGCGCCGACCCATCAGGAACCTGGGGGAGAGGCTGGGGACGGTTAATGGGACGCGGGACCCCCCCCCTCCCCCTTCTTCTCCACCCCGTCCCCGCTCTGGCACCCGGGGGAACCCTGCTCACTCCCCCCCAATCAAAATAAAGGACCCAGTACACACACGAGTCTAACACCGCACACCCTAGATTTTCATTCGATAGGGATCGAGGGAGCCACACACACAACGTACCCAACCCAGCCCGCATAGACGGTGAGGAGCTGGGGTGAGATTGTGTAGGGGGGGATGCACTCGATGCACATGACCGGACGGATGCCCAAAAGGGAACGCGCTCTGCACGCACTGGCCCTGGGGGGCAGGGAGCCCACATGACACCACCAGTCCCTGACACCTGACAGCCCCCAGAGGGAACCGGAGGGCCTGGGCGCGGCACCGACCCGTCCATCCAGGGGAGTGGCCCGCCCATGGACCAGATGACGCAGACGAACTAGGGGCACCCCCTTTCTCTCTAGGATGGCGTAGGGAAGCTATAACACCCAGACCCGCACACCCATCACCCCCCTCAGGGGGGGGAGCGCGGCCCGTGCCTCGAGCCAAGGTACCCCAACCCAACAGCGCACTGAGGCGCATCCTCGACTAACCACCGCTGTATCCACAACCCTTCCGCTTGGGGCCCGAGACTGGGGGAAGGGGGTGCGGGATGGAGGGAGGGGAATGAGAGTAACGACGCCCCTGACGGCCCTTGGGGGACGATCCCTGCCGCCCGGTGGGACGTCAGCCGCCAGCAGAGCCCTGATAGCAGGCGCGTGCCTCGGGAAGGGGGGAGTTATGGGAAGGGATTTGGCAAAAGGGACCATTAACGGAACACTGCTATGGAAACAAATGTTTGTACTGTTATTTCTTGACAAACCACAAAACTAAATAAAGAATGTCAAAAAAAAAAAAAAAATGGTTACAACAGAGTTGACGATGATCACATTTTAATGCGTTATATAAAATGCCAAAATATACAAGTAAAACCATTAAAATAAAAACATTTACATTTAGTAAGCTGCAAAGGAACTTGTTAGAGTAGCTTTTCTCATACTATAAGTACTTGAATTAGCAGGATGATGTTTAAAAGAGTGTGGATCTACACATTAATTTGCAGGGACTAAAGACCTTGTTAAACCATAACCTGTACCAACAGCGTAGATTAACCAATATCATGGTGCTTGGGATGTTTGGTAATTGCCATCCATCATACCACGGGTTAAAGGGATGGTTTAGTATAGTGGCTATGGTGTAAGGATTCTGTGCAGTCCCTCCATTATTAGTTAAATAACGGAGCCATTTGATAAAAACACCAGGGCTCTCTTCCAACCCAAACCCAGGACTGTCTTCTTCCATATTGGACATCAATGATAGGCTGTGAGGACTGGATGATAATCACTCTCAGTGATCCCTCCAATCATGTATAACTGCATGAATCAGAATGCTTGATGTATAACTTGCTTTCAACCCCTATCTAGGTGGGTCCATTTTGGGTGGAGTCTATTGCATCACTTGCTCACCCCTTAGGCCTCTCCCACCAGCATCTCGATTCTGGGACTGCCGAGGTTGCGAGGAATGGTTTAACCTCTAATTTATAATGTAGGCAAACATTAATTCAGTCCATTTTTCAGCAATAGTACCAAGGGAATTATTCACTAAATGATAACTTGTATTGGATTGAAAACTGAATTACGAAATGTTAACTAAAATAACCAACTGTGACTATAGTTAAGTTGTAGAGTTTTTGACAAATTGTTTATTTTTGCTTATCACAATTAGTTTTTAGTTTTGTTTAAAGTGTGTGCAAGTGTTTAATTTTAAATTCATGCTTCTGTGTATTTTGTAAAAACATTACCATTCACACTAGGATATTTTATGATGACAAACGCAAGCAGCAACCGTTGCGATTTGTGGATATACATACGGCTGTTTGGAAATGTTGGGCCGCTTCTCTTACAAAGAGATGTAACTGTGAATTGTAATCAATTCGCAAAATTTAGGGAAAAGTATTTGAGCTAGCAGAGGCTGGCTACAATAGTAATAAAAGAAATGGTGCATTTTAGTTTGGGAAGAAAGGTTAGCAAATTTAAATCTCCTAAAGTTTGGAAAAAACACACCTCAGAGGAGACATGATCACACATTACAAATATATTCGGGGCCAATACAAACCATTATCTGAAAATCTATTCATAAACAGGACTATACATAGGACATGAGGTCATGTAGACGACAAGAAAGGAGATTTAATCAAAGGCAAGGGAAAGTTTTTTATTATTTATATATATATTTTTACAGTAAGGACATTAAGGATGTGAAATTCTCTGCTTGAAGAGGTGGTTTTATCAGAGTAAAGATGTTCAAACAGCAATTCGATAAATACTTGCAAAAACATAATATTCAGGGATATAATTTTTAATTAGTGGGGTTCTTAAACCAAGGATAAATCTGACTGCCATTCTGGAGTCAAGAAGGAATTTTTTTCCTATTTTTTTGCAAAATTGGAAGTGCTTCAAACTAGTTTTTTTTTTGCCTTCTTTTGGATCAGCCGCAAAAACTTGTAGGAACGGTTGAACTTGATGGACGCATGTCTCTTTTCAGGTATGTTACTATGTATTAATACACTATGTAGAACTGATCTCGTGGTTAGCTATACAAGAATTTTCAAATGCAGTCTACTTTAGGAAAAATGGGTTACTATTAGCAGATTTCAACTAAATTTGTAATACGTATAGTTACTAAATTCCAGCACAGTTAAAACTAAATTTGTCCTGACAATGCAAGCAACCAGCAGGTAAATGGAGAAAATAATAATATATTCAAAACATAATATACGTGATATCAATTGAATTTTAAAAAAAGTCACTTTAACCCCTTAAGGACACATGACATGTGTGACATGTCATGATCCCCTTTTACACAACAAAAAATAAAATACAGCACTCCAAAATATTGTTATATACAAGAAAAATTGATGAGTAAGATTCTATTCAATATGCAAGAAAATAAAATTTAATAGAATATACACTTAATGTCTAAATTCATATATCTGCACATAGCAGTCTGATGATCTCATTCAATACATGAAAATTCATCAAAAAGATAGATAATAAATCACTTATCCTATAGATACTGCATTGAAATGAGTTCCTGAGAAAATTCATCTATGTTACAAATCTATCCACACATCCTAGGCTATGCATAGCAATCTACTTGTCTAATGTATTGATGGATCCAGTCCTTACAAAAAATAATGTATATACAAAAAAACAAAAAATGTATATAGTGCAACCAATTTTGAAAAAAAGAGAAAAAAAGAAAAAAAGGGAGAAAAAAGAAAAAGAAAAAAACGAAAAACGTAAAAAAGGTGAAAAAAAGTCCTTTGTGAGTTCACTATATACGTATACAGTGTAAGTATGGTTGGATCTCACCACTTGGGATGTTGCAGTCAAAAATTCAGACGTGCACTGTAAGTATTCCATTGACTGGGCTTGTCCTTAGACGACATAAGTGTATGTTAGACATATGTCCTCCATCCATGCCATAGCAGTGAAGTGTGGATGATAGTTGAATAAACCTCGGGCGGTTGTGTAAACCTTAGGAGGCTGAGTAAAACCTCGGGCGGCTAAGTAGTCCTCGGGCTACAACATGATCCCCTTTTATTCCAGAAGTTTGGTCCTTAAGGGGTTAAACAACCTGAACAAGCTAACTATTGGACCCTTATGGAGTTCACCCGTTAGCAATCAAAATTGTGAACATTTTATATGGATAGCTTGTGTTAAAGAGCATTGGCACCTGATTGCCTGCAAATTTTGTCCAGTTACATTTATAACACCTGGTTTTGTATTTAGAGAGTTTGCTGACATTTCTTTCATCATTCATTTTTGCGGTTGCTGAGCCTCGACAGGCAGAAATCTAGTTAATATCCAAGTTAATGGTTAAGGACATTTTTTATATCTTACTTTAGAGACGCTTTATTATTAAATACATTTATGTATGATAGACGGGAAGTGTAAACCCGTCTATATTGAATCTGTTGACGTGGATATATATTAGATTTTGTGTGCATTATATGGCTACAACTTACAGTTAATTTTTACAGTTTCTAAATTTGTTATAAAGAAAGAAAATTCATAAAAAAAATATATTGTCTAAGATTTATTGTTACTGTTATATTTGGCATAACAAAGTGGTGAAATGAAAACTCGTTGCAAATTAGTAATTGGGGTAGCCTCAGTTAGCTGCAATGATTTAAAGGGACACTATAGTCACCAAAACCACTTCAGCTTCATGAAGCAGTTTTGGTGTATAGAACATAGCCCCTGCTATTTCACTGCTTAATGCAATGCCATTTAAGACTGAAATCACTTTTGTTTCAGTTTATG